GTCGCTGCACTCCCCCGCCACACAAAAAGTGGCTCGAATTCGCAGGTAAGTAAGTAAGTATCATAATGATAATAATCATGATCGGGCGATTGCAAAAAAAAAAAAAAAATCAGGCGTCGACAAAGTGCCAATGACCAAGATTAGGACGAGAAAAGAAGCCCTAAGCCTAAAGCTACCCGCTTTGGCTATTGTCTGGCACAGAAGAAGTACCAACAAATTCCGTCTCGCCATGATCGAAAATTTCGACATAATTTCGCAGCCGGTTTATAAAGTCATTACGGTGAGTTAGTGATGTGATGTGATGTATACAAAAAAGCAACTGAAAAAAAAATTTAAGACGCACCAGTTCGATCAGGAATGGAAAGACCAGGTCCATCGCTCACTTCGCAATCTGTGCTCACGTCGTCGTTGCACGTATCGAGGTGGACCAGAACGTAGAACGACGTTGCGGTGCACAGTAAACGAGCATTTGTTCGTCATCATCATTAACAACCGCAACGACAAAAATGCAAAGCCCGAACCTGAGTAAGGAGGAAAAGTGTTTGGGATGGATGTTGTTTCCTTTTTCTTTTGAATTGTCATCGTGATGGTGATGATGATGATATGCATGTTTATTTATGGTGATGATGTTTTTGCGTTTGTATTATGTGTTTTTTTTTTTTGGTTTTCTTCTTTTTTGCGTCGTCGTCATAATAAAACTTGTTATGAAAACTTTTGTTTCACGCTTCTATTTTATTGGTCATTCATTAGTGAGAAGCATGTTGGTTTATCAAATTTCATAAGAATAATTGCGAACGGCTCATTAGAGAGAGATGCATGTTGCTTTTTCATCATCAGCCAAAACTACCGTAATACTATTTGTGCGAACGGCTCATTACAGAGAGATGCATGTTGGTTCATCAAATTTCATATGATCAATTGCGAATGGCTCATTACAGAGAGATGCATGTTGGTTCATCAAATTTTTTCTAGAAGAAACTGCGAACGGCTCATTAGTGAGAAGCATGTTGGTTTATCAAATTTCATATGATTAATTGCGCGAACGGCTCATTAGAGAGAAATGCATGATGTTTTATCAAATTTCGTAAGACTAATTGCGAACGGCTCAATAGAGAGAGAGAGATCGGTACTATTTTCAGTCATAATCGGTCGATCGCGTATGTATAATGGGTTTAATCAAAATATTGTATAAGATGATGATCATTAGTGAGAAGCATGTGCGAATTTTGTTTTTTCAGAGAGATGCATGTTGGTTCTTCAAATTTTATAGAAGAAACTGCGTGAACAGCTCATTAGAGAAATGCTTGTTGGTTCATCAAATTTTTCATATGATTAATTGCGCGAACGGCTCATTAGAGGAATGCGTGTTGGTTCATCAGATTCATGTTGGCTCATCGAATTTCGCGTATCTATAATAGGTTGAATCAAAATATTTAATATGGTGATCATTAGTGAGATGCATGGTGGTTTTTCAAAATCAAAAATTACCATAAGACTAATTGCGAACGACTCATTAGTGAGATCATGATCCCGTCC